CTGCTGATCGTAGGCTGCTTTTAAATGATCATTTATAAAACAAAATATCTTCTCTGGCCATATTAGCCTACTCAATAGCATTAACATAGGCTTTACTACTTTCAAACTATATCTGGAATGTCACCGTTTCTGTCACTGCAACTTCCCGATCAGGCGAACGAACACACACACACACACACAAAATCGTCTGCCTCATGAAAAAATTTATTTAAAAAAAATGTAGTTAATATTTGCATCATTTGATTTATTTTGTCCACCCACACACCCGCAAATAATCAGAATGCATTTTTTATTACCTGACCCGCGGATTATCTGCAGCGCCCGTGGATATAGGAAAAGCAAAATAAGTTTGCTGCGTAAATCAGACGGACTTAATAATGAAAATGCAAATGCATTCTCTGACAGCAGGAGGTGCTTTAAAGCGGGAGAAACAGGTTTCCCCAGTAACGGCTGTACACAACGCAGCGCTGAGCTCACAAACGCTGCTTTATCAGGCATATAACATGCAAGATGAAATGAAAATGACAGAGAATTTTCTAAAGATAGTCTTCCTTCAGAAATACAGTGATATAAAAACAGCCATAGCCAGACTGATAAACAAACACAGACCGGAAGTTAACTTCGGGCCAGGCGCGTGCGCCGATGAAACTGTCTATATAAAGCTTGAAGCATCAGAATCGGCAGCGGTATCGGCCGATCACCACGGTTTTCTTGTACATGTTAAAGAAATCGGTACTCCGTATCAGCTGCAAAAATCCTGATCGGAGCATCCCTAATTGTGTATGAACTATATTTATTTTTTCTTGTACATGTTAAAGAAATAAAACGATAAAAAAAGAAAACTAATATTTGGGATTTTTTTTTTTTAATAGTTTTTATTAGTTTTCATTTTAAAGTCATAGTTCAATAAAAGTACTCCGTTATTGCTTTTTTGACTTTATTTACATGTGACTTTAAGTAATCTAAAAGTAATCAGATTACATTACGTTTATATTGTGGTACTTGGATTACGTTACTGAATACTTTTTTTAATGAAGTAATTTGTAACTGTAACTGAATACATTTTAAAAGTAACCCTCCCAACCCTGTGTAAGAAATGAGTCAGAAAAATCTAATCTTGCATGCGTGTTTTTTTTGAATGAATGATTCAATGACAAATAATTTTTTTTAACAGTCACTTGTTGCCATCTATTGGCGAAACAATTCAATCGACACACACGTTATTTGAAGCGTCAATTACTTTCAAAAGATGACTTTCTCTATTTTGATCGCTACCATAGACATCAATGTATATATCCGAGCTAAAAACTTTAATCCCAGTATTTCTGTGATAATATGAATGACTATAAGACAGAAATAATACTGTGTAGTTGAAAAGACTGTTTGTGAAGCTGTTTCTTACCTAAACAAACATTAGGTTACTCATGTAAGCCCGGTTCTCTGATAACATGAGTGAGGTATCTCACTATGGGAATCGCCTCGGGCGTGACCAATCCTGGAAGCACCAATTACACCACGTCTGTCAGTTGACAGACCAATCACGACAGTGATGCGGGAGTCCTGCCTCCCTCATATATATCACTGCTAGCGGTCCCTACTTCATTCTCATTATATCTCTTCTCTGTGCTGCTGCAAGGAGGGAAGTGTGGTGAGATACCTCACTCATGTTATCAGAGAACCAGGGTTACATGAGTAACCTAAAGTTCTCTTTCAAACATTCATTCTGTATCTCACTATGGGATATAGACAACTCCCGTATTGCAGATATGCTGTCCGAAGCAGGCATGTCAACCAGCTCAGTGATGTGTGATAATAATAACGTAAGCCCTCCACTATTCCCAGAATAGAACGGAGACATGTGAAAATGGGAATCGCCTCGGGCGTGACCAATCCTGGAAGCACCAATTACACCACGTCTGTCAGTTGACAGACCAATCACGACAGTGATGCGGGAGTCCTGCCTCCCTCATATATATCACTGCTAGCGGTCCCTACTTCATTCTCATTATATCTCTTCTCTGTGCTGCTGCAAGGAGGGAAGTGTGGTGAGATACCTCACTCATGTTATCAGAGAACCAGGGTTACATGAGTAACCTAAAGTTCTCTTTCAAACATTCATTCTGTATCTCACTATGGGATATAGACAACTCCCGTATTGCAGATATGCTGTCCGAAGCAGGCATGACAACCAGCTCAGTGATGTGTGATAATAATAACGTAAGCCCTCCACTATTCCCAGAATAGAACGGAGACATGTGAAAAATAAAAACAACCTCTGTACGAGTGTTTTTTTTCTTTTCTTTTTGCACACTTAGGACGGAATGCGCCAACGAAGGCTCCGTAACATCCAACCTATACAATCTGACAAAAGTGTGTGGCGAAACCCAGCTCGCCACCGCACAAATGTCTTGAATTGAAACGCCCTTAAACCACACCCATGAGGTGGCTAAACCTCTGGTACTATGAGCCCTCAGCCCCTCTGGAGGACGTAGACCCATGCTATTATAACCCAATATAAAAGCTTCCACCACCCAGTGGGACAGGCGCTGACGAGAAATAGGTTTACCCTTATGAGAATCAGCCCATGAAACTAATAACCGATTACTCCTTAATCCCTTCGTCCTGTCCACATAATGACGCAACGCACAGACAGGGTACAAACAATGAAGCCGCTCTTCTTCCGATGAGGAAAAAAAACGGCGGATGAAAAGCCAGTATATCCACCTGTCTATAGGCGAAAGCTGACTCGCTCATTTTAGGCACAAATGCTGGATTTGTCTTGAGAGTTACTCGCGAGAAGTCCATAGCAAACAGCATACCGGAGTTATGAACTAACAACACATGAAGTTTGTTTCGCGGTCGAAAGAGCCAATAACAAAGCAACCTTTAGCGAAAGGAACTTTAAATCAATATTGTCTATCGGCTCAAAAGGAGGCTGAGAGAGTGCGTTAAGGACCACTGACAGATCCCACGGCAGAATCAGCGGCTTTGAAACCATGTTCAGACGCCACGCACCCCTCATAAACCTGCACATAAGCGGGTGCTGACCTATTGTATTTCTGGTGATTCCGTAGGAACTGCACGAAATGTTTCAATGCTAGAAACACTGTTAACATTTCCAGGAAGTTTATATGTGCGTTCTGTAGCGAGACGGGCTATTTTATTTTCGCTATTCTGCCCTCGCACACTGCACCCCAACCTGTGAGCGACGCATCCGTCGTTACTACTTTTCTCAGAGAAATCGCTCCCAGCGGAGTCCCTGATTCGAGAAAAGCACGATCTCTCCAGCAGCGGAGAGCTCGCAGGCAATGTGATGACACTATCACTTTGCGGTTGAGGTGGCGCTTTGGACATAAGCGCTGTGCTGCTACCCAGCACTGAAACTCTCTCATTCGCAACAGCCCCAATGGGATGACAGACACTGCCAAGGCCATCAGCCCTAGAAGACGTAAACACAGTCTGAATAGGACTTTTTTCCCTCTCTGGAAAAGGGAGAGACAACCACGAATTGACCTGATGTGCTCCTCTGATAGAAACGCTTGATACAGGTCTGAGTTCAGCCTGAGACCCAGGTAAATAATTTCTTGCATGGGCACTAAGCAGCTCTTAGTCTTGTTCATTTTGAAGCCTAAGCCTTTTAAATGAGACACAATCAGATTTGTATCTATCTCAGCCTGCCGCCGTGACGGAGCAGAGAGGAGGAGATCGTCCAAATAAGCTGATGCTCTGAGACCCGCTATTCTCAGCGGTGTTAGAGCCGCCTTGACACATTTTGTGAAAGTTCTTGGGGCTAAAGCCAAACTGAATGGAACTGTCAAAAATTCGTAGGCTGTGCCCTGATAGGCAAACCTGAGGAATTTTCTGTGTGCCGGATAAGTACTTATGTGAAAGTAAGCGTCCTTCAGATCTACTGATGTAAACCAGTCTCTAGGACGAATAACATTGCATGTTTTTATTGTGAGCATGTACTTTCTGAGGTGTTTGTTGAGGTTCTGCAAATCCAGAATGGGACGGAGACCCCCCCCTTTGGAAATGACAAAGTACCGGGAGTAAAAGCCGTGCCCGTGGCACCACCCAAAGTACTCTTTTGCTCAATAAAGAGATTATTTCCTACTCTAAAATCCGAGCTGACTCCCCTTCTGCAGTTGACATTAACACACTGTTGAAAAGTGGAGGTTTTACAGCAAACTGCAGACGATAACCCCGTTCTATCGTGGATAATGCCCAAGGGTGTACTGCGCATGCGCGCCAACTCTCCGCGTGAGCAGAGAGCGGACTGCTGTAGCTCTCGCTCACTGATGGCACGGCGGCACCATCTAGCGGTGGAGCTGGGGGTTGCAGCTCTGATCTGGGAGTATTTGTGTGTATTTTTGTTTTTATTTTCACAAAAATCTGTGCCCTTGGCCCACTGCCTGGATGCACAAGAAACATTATTTCTTTCAAATGGGAACCTACTAACAATATCAAAGTTATTCTTACATTTACTTGATAAAAATCAGTAAGAATTTGACCGCAAAAAGACACATGAAGCAGCAGCTGAAGGTGATGTTTGGACAATTACACTAAAAGACCTTGCCTACATTTGTGCTACAAGTTAAGATGTGGCTGATTTCTGTTACCCATAAGGCCTCAGTCTTCCTGCCGCCCCTCAGGCAGTGATTTATTTTTGCTTTGAGAATCTCTCCGTGTTTTCACCATCCTGTGACGTGACCCAGCTTCAGAGCAGCTGATGCTCGCCCGCAGGCGCCTCTCACCGCTCCGCTAACGCAGGCCGACGTGCCCTCCTCCCATCATCCACCTGTTCGGGCCGGAGATGGTGTGGCACGCAAGAGGCCAGCGCATCCAGTTTATGAGACCATCATAATATTGTCACTCTCTTCACTGCTTTTCCCTCCGAACCCAGATCCACCGTCCACCCCAGAATGCAGAGTCTGTCTGTCTGTGTGAAATGAGATGTCATCACTGATTTAATGTGTGTTTTGTGGTTCATGTTGCTCTAGGCACCATCTCCATGGAGAAGGTTCACTACTGTGAGAGATTCATTGAGTTCATGATTGACCTGGAGGTGAGTTGGCATTCCAGCATTTGTTCTGATGCTGCTTTCGGTTTTTCTCATTATGATAAAGTCAGCATGAAATGAAAATTCTAAATGCATGTTATAGATCTTACTGTGAACAATTAATCCGTGCATTTGTTTCCTTTCTAAACATTTTTGACGTTGTAATGGTTTTTTTCATTGTTTTAGTTGTTGCATTTTTGAGCGATAAGTGAAGGCAACATTGCATGGCAACATTTTTTTTAAAAATCTTTTCTGACACAGAGAGAAAAAAGTGTTTATAATAATATGTGTATGTTTGTGGAGGTAGTTATATATATGTACATGAAATACAGTGGTGGCCAAAATAAGCAAAAGATAGAAATAACTGACTTAAAACCATTTTTTAGCTGGTGAAAATCCACGGTAGATAGAACTAGTGTTCTAATCATTTTGGCCACCAGTGTACATACGTAAAAAAAAAAAAAAAAAACAGTCTGTCAGGGGTCCCACACTCATTTGAGGGATTTTACAAATTTAGAATTTTCAAGAAGAAATGATCTTGAAAAATCAAGGGGAAATTATGCCATTTTGTTGCACAAACACATTTGTCAGCAGCTCTTCTGCGTTCATTTGTTTGACAACCACTGACCTGTTTCACAGATTGTGATGCATTTCCACAATAATTCCTGCGTTTTTATAAGTTCATAAAAATACAGTGTACATTTAGAACACTATACTTTGTGTAATGTTAATCTGGCAAAAAACAAACAAACTATCAATTATATTTAAATGTATTTATTTATTGCCGTTTTAAAAACAGTCTATTCCAATCACTGAGTGCGTCAAGCAAAGTGGTTTTGTCATTTCAGTGCCATTTTAAGAATAAAAGGTAATGAAAGTTTGGGAAAGAAAATGAGGATTTAAGTGATGGAAAAGCCATAGAAATTCTTTGGTTAAAAAGAGTGGGAGCCCTGAATTGTACTCTATTATATTGTGCACTGTATTTGACCTATAAATAACTAGTAGTATCACTAGTATGTATTAATATGCAGTATGCTCCGTTATCTAGATTAATATTTTAAATGCATAGAACCCACAAGTGGTCTGATGTTATGTGCAACACTCAGGTTCAGTAAGGGAACAAGTTGGTTCCTATATCACCTTTGATGTATCAGTAGCCACCTGAGTCTGTTCTGTAATAGTCATGTGGGCTGTGATGATTCATTGCTCTATGATTATTAAATCTGTCTGATGTTTCAGAAGTTCTCTGACTGGTGTTTGTTTTTTAGAGAGCAGCGTTTGCTCATTTCCCTGAGCTCAATGATTTTGCCCTGTCTAATGTGGCCGCAGTGGACACGCGAGAGTCCCTCACCAAACACTTTGGCCATCTCAGGTAAGTGACGGCAGTTAAATGTGATCTCTTTATAGAGAGAGAGCGAGAGTGAGATACGGCCCATTAGATTAATGGCTCCTGCCAGAGCTTGATGATAAAGTCCCTTAACTGCAGATGGGGTTCCCACAATCAGGGTTTTCCCACAACTAATGATTATTTTAATAATCGATTAATCTGTCAATTATATCTTCAATTAATTGCTACACACGATACAAAAATTAATTATTGTTAAAAAAAAATGTAATTTAAATCTGTTATTTCTAAAAATGTCAAAAAAATAAATAAAATCCTTATTCCATATCCTGCCCAATGTTGTCTTCCTGTCAACATGTTTAAAGAAGAATTGTTTGTATTCAGAATGAGCCTTTATGCAAAATGGATGACATGAATTTTATTATAAAATCCAAACAATAAATGTGGTTTTAGTGCTCTTTAATGTGGTGTGACAGATCGCTGTAGCATCTCAAGCGGCACATGAACCGATATCTCTTCCTCTTCATTACTAGTTAAAGCACAAAATAAACATGAATGTGCAAAATAATTTGGCTCTGTGTGCTTTTGTTCATTTGTGACTCCGTTTTGTCTGTTCTTCTTTCTGCTTGTAGTCCCAACACCCTCCACCGGGTGTCGGCATACCTGTGTCTCCTCCCTGAGCTTCCTGATGGAGAAGATACATCCTACGATAAAGAATTCCTTCTGGAGCTACTGGTAGGGACATCTTAAAATATCACAAGTATATAAAAGTGTTTACTTTTTTTCTGCTGTACTTTGTTTTGGCGAGTTTCTAAAGCAGCACCAGAGTGCATTAAAACAAGCTTGCCAAAAAAAAATAATCAAGATGTCAGGGGAGTTGAGAGAAATGTAGACCGTAAATATGTTTTGTTCAGTACTGACAAGTAATAATAAAAAATAGGCTTATCTAATTTAACAGTAACATATGGCACATTATTGTGACTGTTTAAAGCTTACGACATAGCTTCACATTTCTGATTAAAGGGGTCATATGATGCTTTTTTAAAGATCATTATTTTGTGTATTTGGTGTAACAGAATGTATTGACATGCTTTAATTTAAAAAAACACATTATTTTTCAAATACTGTACATTATTGTAGGTCCTCTATGCCCCGCCTCTCTCAAACGCTTAGTTTTCTACAAAGTCGTCACATTCACACAAATTGCTATTCAAACCTTTTTTTTCCAGCACATATGTTTGTCACCAGACATCCAAATGAGCATAGGAAAGTTTTTAGACATGCACAGAGATAATGTCAAAAGACAATGTTCCTGCTTCCCAATAGATAATGCATTCTTGCAAGCATATTTTGTTTATATGTTCTCACATGCTATAAAAATGCACTCTGGGGGATATTCTGGGTGTTTTAACATGCATTTATACCATACGTGCATTTTCACCAAAGTTTGTGAAATACAGATTTAGTCCTGCTGAAAAAAAAGTTATTACTTTTGTTGTTTTTGACCCATGTAATCTTGTATTCTAACCATAATTTTAGATACCAGTGAAATTTGACAATTCTAGATTCCAGTTTTGATACCACAGTAAAAACTACTAGCCTAACTACTAATATAAAGTTCAAAGATTTTTAAAGGCAAGTGAACAATCAGTAATAAAACAAGAAAAAATAAACGCATTGCAAGCAACAGAACACTGTAAACAATGCTTTTAGGTTTTTCAGGTGGGTCTAACAGTAGTAATCAGATACAGACGTTTAATAATCAAATGTAAAATAACACTGTCTTTCACTGTATAAATGAAATGTAGATTCATATAAGTTATTTGTCAAGTGCAGGGAAAGATTTTCTTTTTGTCTTTAGTTGTTTGATTATCATTAATGACAGCTGGTAAATTAGGCTGCTGTCACTTTAAGACCTGATGCACTAATACAGTGGTTCCCAACCCTGGTCCTGGAGGCGCCCCAACACTGCACATTTTGCATGTCTCCTTTCTCTGACACACCAATTTCAGGTCTTGGAGCAGTGTTTCTCAACGGTGTTGGGGGGAGCTCAGGACCAGGGTTGTGAAACACTGTCTTGGAGTCTCTACTAATGAGCTGATGACCTGAATCAGGTGTGTTTGATTAAGGAGACATACAAAACGTGCAGTGTTGGGGTGCCTCCAGGACCAGTGTTGGGAACCATTGCAATATACTGATACACATCAGATTTCTTTCTTGACCAAACCTACGAGGATACTTACCAAGATGGGCATTTTGACACAATTAGTTTGGATTTGTCAGTTCAAGCGCAAAAACACCGGAAAGAGTGTTAGAATTACCGAATGGTGCATAAACTTTCATCACAATGGTTCAGTCAGCTGTCCCAAGTGGCCTTCACGTTGACTCCAGGTCATCAGGCAGTCCTTATTGTCGAACGTGTTTAAAAGGTTTTCTGCATGCTAAGTCCTCAATTTGTAAGTGCTTGAGGCTGGGGCCTGTGAATGGCTCACTCTTATAGTGTATTTTAACCTCTGCTGCAGATGTTTAAGATGTTTCAGGCCCATCGGTGGTCCTGTTTTAATTACTCCCTCCAAATCTCATCAAGAACTTGAGCATTTCCTCTTTAATGCTGTCTCTGTGTTGATGGAGCCAGTGGCAGGCGGTCATTTGCGTGTTGAGCAGCTGAAATCTGGTTATGTGCATGTGCTGCGGCCCACAATGGAGTCAGAGCAGGTCACAGACTAGATAAAACACTTAATTAAGCTTTAACAGGATAAGCTGCCCAAACACTCCTGATTAATTCATTTGATTTTCTCAAAGCTGCGTCCCATGTGAGCCGCCCGACTCGTTTTCTCATTGAAATTGTTTCATGTTTTCTCAGCAGAGTAGTCTCACAGCGTTAGCTCATTTGAATTTGAACAGAAACTTAATAGAAAGGTTTTATAGTCATCAGGAAGTACAGGAAAAGTTTTAAAGGAAAACTTAATTCAGACAATTTATTATGCATGCGCTGCGTATAACAATTTCTTTTAAGAACGTTTTGAGACTGTGGGATTTGCACTGCACAGTTTACGATACGTGACTCAAACACAATATTTTGATTTACAGGCAACATTTTAAACAAGGACCAAAATGTGTGCTGGAAAAAATAACTCTGTACATCAAACTCTTTCAAAAGATCAAACATCTTGGTACTATATATCCCTTTAAAATGCTCATGGGATGTGATTGGCCCTCTTGCGCTGTGATGTATGTAGTCTACATTTGGTCATCTGCTGTGTTTGAAGGGTAAACCGTAATCGCACAGGTTTACCCAGCATGCTTTGTCCAGCGTGCAGATGATTCGGTGGTTAATGGAGGAGCTGGCCAAGACGAAACAAACCCCATGAAACCTTTCTCTCTTCTGTTCAGGTGTCCCGCCATGAGAGACGAATCTCCCAGATAGAACAGCTCAACCAGATGCCTCTGTACCCCACCGAGAAGATCATCTGGGACCAGAACATCGTTCCCACTGAGTACTACTCTGGAGAAGGTGGGCATCTTCACATATGAGTTCACCATCTAATCATCATACTATTATGTCATATACCTTTGCATTAATAAAATTAGAGGAATAGTTTGACAAAAAAAATATGTACTTGTTTATCTTTCCTAACTTGTATTACTGTATTTATTCAACGGAACACATAAGGAGAAATTGAGAATGATCAGCTCTTTTCCATACAACAACAGATCATAGTGACCAAGTATTTCAAGTTCCAAAAGATGCATGAAAATAGATACACAAAAGAAGCTTTGAAAAATGCCAAAAAAAACCCAGTTTCTTTAAAGGGTTAGTTCACCCAAAAATGAAAATTCTGTCATTAATTACTCACCCTCATGTCGTTCCAAACCCGTAAGACCTTCGTTCATCTTCGGAACACAAATTAAGATTTTTCTGATGAAATCTGAGAGCTCTCTGACCCTCCATAGACCGCAATGATACTACCACGATCAACTCACAGAAACGTAGCAAGGACATCGGTAAAATAGTCCATGTGACCTCAGGGGTTCAACCGTAATTTTATATTTAATTTCATAGCTTTTCAATTCATAGCTTCGTAAAATTATGGTTGAACCCCTGTTGAATACTTTTTTTGCGCAAAAGAAAACGATAACATAACTTACTCAACAATTCTTCTCGCCGAGTTACATCTTCCGCCATTTTGGGGAGTACCGCAGAACATAATCAATGTAATCAGCGTTGTTTATGTTCAGTAGACGGCACGCGCATGCTGAACGTAAACAAAGCTCATTACGCTGATTACGTTCAGTGGATACTCTCCAAAATGGCAGAAGACGGTAACTCGGGGAGAAGAATTGTTGAATAAGTTATGTTATTGTATTCTTTGCACACAAAAAGTATTCTCGTAGCTTTGTAAAATTACGGTTGAAGCCCTGATGTCACATGGAATATTTTAACGATGTCCTTGGTCTTACGGGTTTAGAACGACATGAGGGTGAGTAATTAATGACAGAATTTATTTTTGGGTGAACTAACCCTTTAACGCCAAACTCCACTGATGCCTTGATTGTGTCCGTTTGTGCAAAATTGTAAAAAAGCTGCCTGAAGATTCTTCAAAAAAATAAAAAAAATATATATTTTTTAAATTTTTGTTCTACAGGAGTAAAATAATGACAGAATTTTCCTGTAGTTATATCTGACAATAACATTTTAATAGTGATGCATCGAAATTTCAGCAACTGAAAATAATCTGCTGAAAATTGATTTTTGGTTTGAAACAGTTTTGAATGTGTGAAATGTTTGTTTCAACGAAGAATTGGAGTATAAAAATAATTATATAATTAAAAAGTTTACATTAAAAACAGTCTTATGTGCAATTTAAATTTTTATATACAACTGTTTTTATTTTGAGATTTATTAAATAAATATAATTAATTATTACACTTTATTTTCGTTTAATGAAAACGTTTAACCAAAACACTGAAAACTAAATTCATTTCAGTGCATCACTACATTTTAAGATGTATGAGTGTAAAAAATTTAAACTAAAATTTAGTAAAACTAACACATTTTTTTTGTTTTGTTTGTGAATCTGCAGGTTGTTTAGCTCTCCCCAAGCTGAACCTGCAGTTTCTGACCCTGCATGACTATCTTTTGAGAAACTTCAACCTCTTCCGTCTGGAGTCCACTTATGAAATCCGGCAGGATATCGAGGACGTCGTGTTACGGATGAAACCATGGTTTGTTCTCAGTCTAAAACATTTTTAACAAAAGAGTTTGATTTCATACCCAAATTAACCTCTAAAGGCCATTTCCCGTGACTTGACTCAGGACTATATCAAGGGCTGATTTTCAAGGAGGTGTTTTGGTAGCAAGAATGTAGGAAATGTGTACTTAAATGGACAAAATAGTGAAAGGATGAAATAGAATTTTTTTTTTTTAGAAATAAAACTTTTTTTAATGTCAAGATACTTGATGTGGATACACACAGGATATATTTTCTAACTTAAAAGTACTTGGGATTATAATTTATTGTCAATTTTGAAGCTTGACAACCCCTGTACAGCATTTATGCTTACTGTCAAAGAACGGCGTGAGCGTCCTGTTTATGATCTGCTGTGTTTGTGTGGTTGTGTCCCGCAGGCAGTCGGAGTACGGAGGAGTGGTGTTTGGAGGATGGGCTAGAATGGCACAGACCATAGCGTCGTTTTCTATCGTGGAGGTGGCCAAGCCAAACATCGGAGAGAACTGGCCTGCCCGCGTCCGTGCTGACGTCACCATTAACCTCAACATCCGGAATAACATCAAAAACGAGTGGGAGGGTAAAGCTGTCTCTCTCTGTCTCTGCAAGCACTAGCAACGCATTTAAAACCAATTCACAAAACCCTTGAAAGCACCTAGCAATATCATGGTTATTATCATTAATGAAAAACTTAAAGCTGCAGTCCGTACCTTCTTTGGTTAACAATTATACGAAATATAGTTTTTGAGCAAGTACATAACCAGCCAGTGTTCAAAACTATCTCCTTACCTTAGCCTGATTCACATCGGTTAGCTTATTATAACGTTTTCTAGTTTGAGTGGTACTGGTAGGAATTTGTGGGAAATTCGAGCGTCATTACGTCACGTCTGTAAACATAAAGATTGAGTCCCAGCTAGTAGCTATATCGCATGTGAGGATGCTGCAGGTGGCGGATCGTTTATAGCCTTTTCTCACAGCAGCTGGAATAATTAAACTTATCATTTTGATGGCGGATTGTAAACCAGAAAGGATTATGTGTTTATGAAACACATGTGACTGAAATTAAATTATATTCCAGTTTTAAATGTGCATCTGATTACAGATAGCCTGGGATTACACAAGTTTTGTATTTTAAAGAGAACCAGTTCGGAGGAAGAATAATTTGCGGTTACGCTTTGTTTTGATAGTCCACTTTAGACATTCTTCTAACTATAAGTAACTTTGTAACTACATGTCAACTAATTCAAATTTATTTGCAACTACACGTCTACTAACTCTCAGAGTAGACTGTTAGGGTAGGTTTAGGGTTAGTCGAATAAGTGGACTATCAAAATAAAGTGTAACCTAATTTGCTTTTTGGGTTAAAAGAATTTCTTTATATGAAATTCGAATGGTATGACAATTAGAGATTAGACTGCACAGAAATTGAAATCTACATGCTAATACACACTACATACACATTAACAGTAATAATAATTTGCACGGTTTGATGTGATATGAAATGATTGTTAGATTTAATCACCATTGTAACGTAATTTATTGGTCAGAACAAATGTTTTAGACTTGTTATTTACTCGTTCAGATGACAATATCCAGTGAAAATTCTTATTTGGGTCATACTTCCAAGATGTAGGCTAGAATTTGTGATTGCGAAGTACAGTGAATATCCACACCGGTGCGGTGACTGACTGCCACACATACTCTTCAGAACATTAGATTCATCCGCGCTGGAGCCGCGCCGACTCACAACCTACATTAACCCTTTAAGCCCTGAGGTAGAGGTCTGCCTCTATTTTTTTTAGGTTGTACAAAAATATCCTGTTAGCTATTTTTTTTCGTCTTGTCAAAATACTAAATTCGTTTGAC